GAGGGCAAAAACAAAAAATACAAAGGTAGAACAGTGACTGGAACTTCAATCATGAACATGAAGACAACGAGAAACAGTAATAGTCGTGGTGTGAGTTGGCCCCAAAAATACAAGCAACCGCACTTAAATAACGAATATATTTTTATATTTTCCGAGCAGGATTTGTGAAGCAGTAGATTTACAACGTTCTCGTCTCAGCCACTTGATAACAAAACACAGGCGGTAATTTTTGCAGCCACTTCCCTGTAATTATTTCCTAATTTAAAGACAGCGATAAACAGTAATGGTGGTGGTGTACATTGCCTCCTAAAATACAAGAATACAACCGCACCCAAATAGCGAAAACTTTTTACATGTTCCGATCAGGATGTATGAAACAGTAGAATTGCAGCGTTCTTGTCTCGGCCACTTGATGAGAAAATAACAAAACACAAGTGCTTTTTGACAGACACTTTCGTGTTCTTATTTCCTAATTTAAAATTTCGATCTGTACCATCCAGCGCCAACAGAGGTCAACGCTCTGGGCAACACTGTATAGGACAGGGTACACAGAAAACGGTATTCTTGAATAGCGTTCTACCTGCTTAAATCGTCCGTGGTCGGCTGGTAGACATGATTCACTATGGGAGATGGATATGAGACCTGGGTCGACTATCCGCTAACATCATTACATATTTAAACTACAACCACATATCATAGGCATGGCTTTAAAGGTTGACCACGGGCGGATAATTCAGTCTCAACGGGGACTTACGATCGAAAGCATCCAAAATACTGGCTACATCAGTTGTGACCACAGTCTTCCCAAATTTCTCTTGGTCAAGTCATTCGCAAGTTAAAATCTAAGAAACTGGACAAACTTTGAAATTGAAGCAGCAAACAAAACGAGGGTAACTAGAGTAGTCAAAAACCAATCAACTGTCAGAGGTCATCAGTTCGTCAAGGCCCTATGACTACTATAACTACCCTCGTTTTGGTTGTTGCCTCTTATCTCTGAAGATAGTCTCTTGTAAGGGTTCGAAAGCTCAGGATGATAAACGAATTGATCCGGTGCTCGATAAGTCCTCTTCTTCTTCTTTGATATTTTAGTTTCCCTCTTCATGTTAACGAATGGGACCTAAGCAGAAACTTTGAAACTATGTAAAAGGCTAGGTGTCTTTAAAAACAAATAAAGTTAATATTTAGGAGGTTTGGCAGATTTGCTTAATTCTAAGTTGACCCAATTGTGAAAAAAACTCGCGGCATTCGGCAGGCTCTGAACCCGCATAGTAGAGAAGGCCTTTACGCGAAGCCAGTGCCCTCCCAGTTGAGCTACAAATGCCACAAAATAAAGTTAAGACGAAATTTGCTATGCGCAGTACTTCTTACTGGCAAATGCTACAGACAGTCGCCCCGCTACTGGTTATTGTACTAAGAACCTAAATGAACAGGCAAGCCGGGATTCCAGAGGTTATTCACTGAATGATCTTCAAATTATACCGAACTGAAAGGAGATTCTAAGGGAATGCTACACCTAATATACTCTCCATAAATTACAAGTTTGTCTATAATCACTCTATCAGATTCTATGTTGGCAAAAGTACAAAATTATGCGATGTCAGCTTCAAGTCCCTTGATCACAGCATAGAAATTAACGGCAGATGAACGTTAACAGACCTCATGGGTGGGTGAGGCATCCAAGTCACCGGCGCCGGCAGCATAATTCTCATTATCCGCCTCATCGCTGAAGCGTTCACCATCAGCGAATCGCAGTTCCGGTGAAGCATAGACGCGCGAGCGTCTAGACTTACGACGCCTGGGCTTCGCGACCATGA